CTGGCCCTGAGGCGAAGGGAGGACGCCAGCAGCAGGGGAGCTGGGGGCTCCCCTGCGGAAGTAGCGTGAGAGGCTGGAGAGCAGCGTGCTCTACGAGAGAAAAAAGCCTGAATGAGGCCCAGCGTCCCCCGCCCTAGGACTGGGATTTGCCCTCCGGCCCCGCCCCCTCCACCCCTCAGTACCAACTCTGAGCTGAGCTCCTGCTTCATCCGCTGTTTGTCCCGGGGGTGCACAGCCGGGTCCCTAAGGTAACGCATCGCCTGGGAGATGAGCAGGTAGAAGCAGTTCTCCATGGTAAACATCAAGAGGGACCTGGGACAGGAGGATCGCACTGCTGCAGAGGGCCAAGCTGGCAGGTGCCAGGTAGGCCACTGAGCCAAAAGAACAGCTGGCCCACGGCTGCCCCAACCCCAGACCGAATTCCATAAGGAAGACTTTCTTACTTCAGTGTTCTGGGCCCTTCTGCCTGTGTGCTGAGCCCCACGGCCTGGGTGAGGGGTTCCTTTTTCTTGTCCAGCTGGAGGAAGAGAATCGAGAGAACAAAAATCAGGTAACAGTGATAACTCCAACCCACTGAGAAGCTCTCACTTGGCAGGCCCCGCACTCAGCCGTTGTAGCAGTCACCTCATTTACCCCTCGCAACAGCTCTCAACAGAGGGAGGCTCCACCGCACTCTGACGCAGAGGAGCAGGCCAGGCCAGGCCAGGCCAGGCCAGGTGTCCAGGGTCACGGTCAGGAAGGGAAACAGAGGGAGGCTTGGGTGGAGGGGCCAGACAGCACCCAACTTACCTCTCCGAGCATGTTTAGGGCTACATTCACTGTGGCCAGAAGGGTCCCAAAGGAGGGAGCCACTTCAGAGTCAAAGGTGGGAGTGGTAAAGCTCAGGGCAAACAGGAAGTTGTACTCGGCAAGGTCCAGGGACTGCAAAGCAAGACGAGCATTCTAGTGGCCAGCCAAGGCCCCAGAGAGCACCCAAATACAGAGCAGGGCACGGCCGAGCCTCACTGCTGGGAGGCTGGTGGCACAGCACGGGGTGCTGGTACCTGATCCAGCAGGATCTGGCAGACATCCGGGGTGAAGTGGCGCAGGGCCGCCAAGGTCCTGCTGAGGATCTTGAGGAGGCCATACTGGACCATGTGCAAGGCTCGCTGTTCCGAAGCCTCTGTGTCAGCAGTGGGCTGCTTGGAGGAAGAGCATGAGGAGGCAGCAGGGACAGCGGTGGGTGGCCGTGAAACTCGGGGGGCAATAGCTGAGGGGATGCCGTCCCCGTTTTTGCTCTGAAGGAGACAGAAAGGAAGATGGAGCACAGGCAGCCAGGGTGCGGCACTCCGGGCGGCCGTGCGGGTGGGGCTCAGTTACCTGTAGGCGGTGCTGGAGCATCGCGCGGCTGTGCAGAAGGGAGGCACAGGCCTGACACAAGTAGCCCAGGTTCACCTGCAGCAAACATGGGAGGGGCGAGGGGTTCTCTCGGTAGCAGCCCCGGCCAGCTGACTAGACCGACCACAGGTCTCTACAGAATCTCACCACGCTCTGGGACTCGGAAGCGCGGCTCATGCTCACCTCTGCACCGTCTGGCTGAAAACTTTCCAGCCGCTAAGTACGCTCAACTGCATACTCTGGGTCCACAGATGGCTGGGCTGCTTCCCTGGGACCTAACTAAAGGCCCGACACCGTGTAAGTTCTCAGTAAATAAACAGCGTAGGGATTATTTCCCCATCGCACAGAAGAAAAAGGCTTAAAAAGGTGAAGTGACTTGGCTAAGGTCACACCCCAGCAAAGACAGATGCCTGTCTGACTCCAGAGCCTGTGTCCTTGACCTGCCCTGCTCTCTGACTGGTTCCCAGCTTCAGACCTGTTCCTGAGGGAACAGGAACCACGGTCTGACCCATTAAGCCCAGACTCTCAACCTACAAGGCTGCCCTATGCTGAGGAGGGAGCCGGCTAATTCCAGAGGAAGCACCGTGAAACCAAACCCAGTGCTCCCTAAGCAGAAGCCCACGTTCCAAGAATGGGCATGCGATCACTGAAGGTGGCCGGACCGTCCACACTGCATCCTGTCCCCAAGCATTTCCCCAGATCCCTCCAAGCAATGTGTCCGAGGCCCTACCTGGACGTCCCGCATGAGCTGAGGCAAGTGGAAGTGCCACTCCTTCATGAAGCTGGACAGCTGCAGAATGAAGCCCACGGTGTGGTCCGCCTCCTCTAGGCACGCCAGACTCTGCACCGTTCTCACCGCGTTGAGGCACTGGGAGGGGACAGAAGGACAAGATGGGGTGACGCAGGGACCTGATACATCTGCTCCTGCCCTCCTGTGGGGAGGACAAGTTTTGGACCCACAAATGCTGAGATGGTGGCGCACGGGTGGTTTGGTGTCACGACTGAGGGATTCTGTCTGCGCTGATCTCCTCACCCTGCAGCTGCACAGGCTGGCTGGC